CAGCTGCAGACCTGGATACCAAATGCACGATGGTATTTCACGTATCACTTGTCGCAGAAAATGCCTTTGAGAGGGAACCGGACTTTTTTACTAGTCGAGAAATGTGCCGCTAAGCTGCTTCACGTAGTTTCGAATTTTAGTGTCTACGAAGGGGCACTTGCTCTTTATGTTTGCGTCACAAAGCCTGGTGTCTCATCTGTTAAGCAGTCGTAGAAAAACGTATTTGGAAAGAGGAATTAAGCAGAAAATCACGTACCAGTGTTGATGGCTACTGGCACGGCAGACTGTTGACCTTCTGCGTTTTTAGCCACTAGCAGCGTGCAAAATTCATCACCTGGTGGTACCGATGACGTCAGGAACAACTCACCTGAAAATGTTAGTTGTCTGGAAGTGTGACAACATGACTGCACTAAGACTTTTTGTCTGTACTTCAATGATACCCAACTGACAATGGAGGAATTATGACAACTGAAGAAGTCTTTGTACATCGCCGATGTCACGTCCACCCGTTCCGGCGGAAAACCATGAGTCATCCCCCCCCCTCATATAGAAATGGTCTCACCGGTATTGGGATCAACAGCAAACGACTTTTCATTGTCCGGTGTGAATAAAGAATAGGTGACGTTGGAGACAGGTGATGAATGCGACGAGATGACAGCAAATGGGTAGCCGGGTTGTGGCCAGGAATCGGGGAATATCTGAAATTGTCAGAGAAAAGTTTTATCAGTTTTATAGGTACTTAGTCAAAGTTTGTTTTCATCCTTGTCAATATGTAGATGAATTGCTTTCAGCCCAGGGTCACGAAGATGAGAAGTTTATTGAATTGTTATCACAAGAATGCTGAGTTGTGGGCAAAAGTCGTGCCCCAGGCGGGAGTCGAACCCGCACCTCACGCTTTCCGGGAAAGCGTGAGGTGCGGGTTCGACTCCCGCCTGGGGCACGACTTTTGCCCACAACTCAGCATTCTTGTGATAACATTCGGAACGCGTACTGCGGCGTTAAACAGCAGTTATCATAACAAAACAGCTTCAAAAATGTATTAATTGTTCCCCAAGGTGCACTTATGAATTTGGAGGAAGTAAGAGTGAGTGGGGGTGGGGTTATAACCAGTGCACGTCTCTTCATTTGCGGAAGACTTTTTTTGATAGTAGGACCCCACAGCGTTTCCCCCCTACAGAACTACCCCTTCCCCCTCCTACTACTATCCGATGACTTTTCTATCTATTATCTATTCTATCTATCTATCTATCTATTAGTTATCATCTATCTCATCTATGCTATCTATTCTATTATCTATCTATCTATCTATCTATCTATCTATCTATCTATCTATCTATCTATCTATCTATCTATCTATCTATCTATCTATCTATCTATCTATCTATCTATCTATCTATCTATCTATCTATCTATCTATCTATCTATCTATCTATCTATCTATCTATCTATCTATCTATCTTCTTGTCTGAGTTTTCAACATTTAACCACATTTCTAGAGATTTGCACTGTTCCCTGAGACGATTTGAGCTCGATAGATGCTGAAGAGAAGACAGAAAAGCCAAAATTGCAAGAAAAATTTTCTTGCGCTGACATGACGACCTCTCCCCCCCCCTTTGAAATACGAATAAGTGTTGACTCCCTTTCAGTAGAAGTTCGTTCGACGATCACGGCGATATACGTGATGTAAAACGCGTGTATTGCACCCATACCACGTGCCCTGGATATGACATTGGAATCACATTTGGGAAGTGATGGTACATCACCAGATTAAATTGCATCGCCGATTTTACGTGAATACATCCCGAAATTTCATTATAGCCAATGATTCTGATATCTTCATTCGTAACACGGAGCTGCGAAGCACTTCGCCCTGTTCGCTTACGGGCGGCGGGGGGGGGGGCAGCTTTTTAACTTGTTTCTTTTGCTATATCCAGGTTAATTACACATATAACCTCGGTGAGACTCGTAGCTCCTGCCCAGTGTGAGCGAAGCTCTACTATTGCATAGCATGGTTTACGGGTATCAACAGGAGGTACCGGAAATGACCGGTGCGAACCAGCAGAATGCCCGCACTTAACCAAACTGTGCCATCACCTACTTTTCGCACTTTCCTAGAACAATGCGAGAAGATTCTAGGTGATGGGAAATGGTGGGAAGTTTTCTCGCCGCTGAAACTCAAGGCGGTTTTACAGCGGAAAAGCTTACTTTTTGTAAGTTCTTCAGTTTTTCGTCTTTTGTAGAGAAGTAAATACAAAGAATTCTTTGTTTTCATTAATCTTTTGGACTGCGGACAATAATGCACAGACTTTTAGAAATACGAAGTTACGCGATCCTATGGACAGCGAGAAACTATTGAACGAGAAACTTCAAGCTTCTGCTACAACTGAGCTGCAGCTATGTACTCCCAGAAGCACTGTCCAAACAGTTCCATACCTGCACTCTGTAGGATGTCTGGTCGAATTCGGGTCCAGCATTCTCTGATGGTTCACTGAATTCCATCTCGTAGACAATATCCGACACAGGAAATGGAGCTCCCGAATCAATGAAATTCAGTTTTTGATCCTGAAAAATAGAAGTATAACGCACGTGCAGTAGTCACATCCTTTGTCCATGCACAACATGTAACAGCGCCCGATATCACTCAAAAATAAAAAAAAACGCGCGTTGATGAATCCACGTATGGCCGAAGATCAGAGGATTAGCGAATTTGTCAGGAGGCTTAAGGAAGAGTTGATGCACATGTGCGAAAAGGATTAGGTAAGTATCAATCTGGATAAATCGACGACACTAAATTTTGAAGTTTGTCGACTGTGTGGGAATAATTGGCACGTACACTTTATCTACACTCCATAACTCAACGATGGACAGGGCGTGGCTTGTTAGCGAAGGCGTTGAATGCGTTTTTTTTTTCGTGGGATTGAGTTTATTCAGAACTGTTTTTCAGAACTGGTCTTGGCCTGTGCTGGAGCAACGATATGAATGTCAAAAATCAGTTGGCCAGTTGCCAAGAAAGTGGCTGCTGTCCTACTAAAACCGCAGCCGCCGGAATTCAAAACAGCAGTGAGTTGCGAACACGCGCTCTCCATCCTTCGTGATAAGATCTTCCGAAAAAATCATGCATTGCCCCGTGTAGGGCAAGCCGCCATGAAACTAGAGCCTGAGCATAGTTTTTGTTTTTTTTTTTTGCGGATTGTGGCAAGACACTTCAAAGGTAGGAGTAGCTCACTAATATTGTCAACGCGAGTTAAACGCGCTTTTCAAAGTAGTTTTCATTGCTTCTTTTCTCTGCTCTCAAATTTTGCAGAACGTCTCATCGTTATATAACCGCCCCCCCTCCCTCTTTATGGCTGGCTACTCCTCAATGACCGAAACTCTAGATCAAGTGGAGAAGCTTATTACAACTGCACCTCATTGTCCGTTTCGATCCATGTGACGGGAGTGGCGACACGCAAGCGCGTACCTCGCTGGTCGACAACACGCGTCAATCGGTAAATTTTGTGGCGCAGTGGGCGGTACTATTGAACGTATCCGCAAAGTGCTCCAGTGTAGGCCTGGTGTATACCTCTAAGGTTGAATGTACAAATTGGAGCAAAAGATGTCCCGTAGTGGGGGTCATATGAAACGAAACAGATCCCCGTAGAAGAAAGGAACACTCACAGACTGCGGAACGATGCCAACACCGATGTTTTCTTGAGGTCGTCGGTAGGTTTTCGATGGCTCTGAAATTCAGTGTTAGGCTAATCACTAGTCCAGGATACAAAATCAGATAAGATTGTGTGGCGCAATTGGGCTTGGGGGGGGGGTTCAGAGTTTAGCAAAGGTTGTACAGGTCACCTTGTGTAGACATGTAAGTTCTTGTAATCGACGTGGCCACTGGTGCCAATTTGCAGCTTTACAAGACTTTAAAGGGATCACCAAATTAACCTGCTAGTTGACGTGAATTTGCAAAAGGATCGAAGAAAGTGCGAAATGCCCCACTGCAAACCGAACAGCGAAAGTTATAGCATGGAATCCATCTTCGAAATTCGTTAGTCTAGGGACATGGTGCACGATGGGAAAACGACGGATATGGCACTAAAGACTCCAAGATGCGAAGTGGCATGCCTTCGAAGAAAACTGCGAAAGCACAGTCAAGATCGCCCGGGAATAACACTCCTTGCACCTCTGACATCGTACGAGTTTGCCTGCGCTCGGACGAGTTTCCCAAATCGCTGGGTTCAAGAATCTTTGATTATGCAATTGCAATCTTGAATTTCCTTATAAATTTGTTTCATTATCTCTCTTCATTTCTGTTTGTTTGTTTTTTTTTTGTCCCCCACCATTCTAGTCGCCTAGCACCAGCTGCGACGACTTATTGAAGACGGTGTCGTAAATTTCTCCACAACGGCTGCAGTCAACAGAAAAGGCGAAAGTTTGAAGCGGAGGACCCCCGCGCTAGGATAAGATCCCTCTGCCTCTCTACCTTTTCTCGTCAAAGTCGGGCCCTTCACCCGGGGATAGTGGCATGCCGTAGTCGTCTGTGAACGTGAGCACTGCGTACTAGAAACAACGCTATCTTCCGAATGATCGTGCACCGCGCCTTTAAGTCCAAAAAGTGACGTCATCCTCACCTCTACGAACTGAAGCGGTATTATGTTGATAATGCTGCCAACATCAGGACGGTAGAAGAACACCGGCTCAGGCTCCATTATGGAGGAGACGATGAAACCATCTGTAAGAAAACGTGTTGGGATAAAGCGATTTTAGGACAGCTTATCGAGCACAGTGGTTGCTTGGTGCGAAGAAAACCAACCTTTCTCTGAAACGGCTGCTCTTATCACATAGACATGCTGTTCTTCTACCGGCATCAGTACTCCTTCAACTGTAGCGATCGCCGACATATTCCTTATGTTTGCCTGGAATCGCTTATGGTCAGAGGTGTTCACATATGTATGCAGGTTAAATACGTGAAATTACGGTTTGTCCAGGTGTGGTGATGTGGTACGTGAGACGTTTTGAGGTGCCTGAAGCGATGTCGCCCACTGTTGGTGATATGGAATTACCTGTAGAGAAGAGAGAATTCATAGAAGAATTATAAAAGGATAAAGGATAAAGTCTTCGCCGTTGATCAATCCCTTTGTGGGATGCGGCACGCATTCTACTTCCATTCAGAATCGTAGTGGCTTATTGAATGCGATGTGGCCTATACAATGACTTGCGGTGGCCAGCCGATGTACAAGTCAGTGTTTTATCCTCCCAGACGAATCTGGTACCAATTTACCGTCCCCGGAGGGTAGAAGGCTTGGTTGGCCTGGGCGGGTGTCGACCCGGGATTCGAACCCGCGCGCGAGTGGTAAGCGCGCCACTTGTCACTACACCACCTCCGCCTCATAGAAGGATTATAAAAAATGAAATGAAATTATCGGAGCTAATGAACTCGAAAGGGAGGAAAGGCACACTGAATAAAGCCGGGCATGTCGCGCCTGGAGCGCGGGCTTTGCGCGACGTTGCTCCGTTGCGGCTGCGGGCGTCCAATGAATGGTGAGAAAGGGGCGCCAAACCCCAGAACACACTGATACCCCCCGACTTATATCAGTGATAACGACTTTATCCACCGCCCGCGACAATAAAGCGCCAATACTATTGAAAGATTCCAAAGAAAAAAAATCCCGTGAGCACGTTCTCTGGTGACCGTAACGGCTTAGTAAGTGGTGTAACAAATTATCCTGTTTGATCTCATTAGCTTCGTGATTTTATGATGTGTTCCTTTACCACATTTCTTTGTCTTCTCACCTATTTCTTTTCCATCAAAGTTCCATGCGAACGATGTCAAAAGGTGCTGCTTGCGATGACGTTACTATATCGAAATCGGCTTTGACAAATTGTACGTCTGTGAGTGGAGAATATCTGAAACGTAGCTGATCATTTTGTACTACTGAGGTGCGGCTTATAGAATGAATTTTGGGGCCAGCCAATGTACAAGTCAGTGTTTTTATCCACTCATACGAATCTGGCACCAACCTCACTTTTCGCCGTACAGGTACGAAGGCGTCGCTGGTATGGGTGATGCTCAGATCCAGTGCACGCCCCATTTTGGCCACTTCAACATTACCGCCGAGGCAACTTGGCGACAAGATGGGGGGGGGGGAGTGGCGGGCGTTTGCACTTTTTGCTCTTTCCATCTACGTGTCAGGTCCAATCTGGGCAGCATACTGCGTGAGTTGAAAGACATTGAGCAGGGTTCTACTATGGTGGCTAGTCGAGCTTGCTCCACATACATAAAACTTCACAGGCTGGTGAAATCGCGAAAGTGCAAAATGCCCCCCCCCCAATTTGCGAACGGCGCCACTTCCGCTTCCTCAGCCCAGTTGATATGAGTGAAAACTTCGGAAGGCAGGATTCAGGCAAAATCTCAAATTCCCGATGTCAGAAAACCAAGACTCTGTCTGTCTGTGAGTGTCGGGTTAAGGTCAGTGGTGGGCGAGCTCGGTTGGACTTCGTCCTGCTTATCGGAAAGAATACTTCAAAAAGCTACCTATTTGGCGAACCATTTTCCCACTTTCTTTTGGCAGTATCACCATTATCATTGTCAGTGCTTGAAAAACTAAAGGTACGTAGCAATGACTTACCCAATGTTCATTATAGCAGTCATCGCGGAGAAAGGCGTTCTTGGCGAAGCAGTGACGTCGCCATTGACAAAATGGAGGAGCTAAAAATAAGTGAGTTTCGAACCTTTTGTGGTACCAGTAACTATTATGTTTAACAGAAAATTTCTATTCATATTTACCTTGGAGAAGAGAAACTATTTAGTCATCAGATAATCACAAGGAGTATTGTAATAGAGTCAAGTGTCGAAATTTCGCGCTGTTTGGCTTTATGAGAGGCCATTTTGGAACCAAGGTTCTTCGCTGTTGCAATAGCCTTCACAAGAATTACAGTCTTCAAGGTAGAGCATCAAACAGTGATCGATGGGAAACAACAAATATGCCTTACCAAAACTGTCACCCGAAAGTCGATATTATTCAGATATTTGTAGAGGTTGTGCTTTAGAAAACCTACTCGAAGGCGCCGCCTTGGTCGAATTTCCATCAGTGGTGACTTGAGGCGCTGTTTTGATGGAGCACCATTCTTGTGAAAGCCGAGTACAATCACTGCCTCAAACACAGTACGCGTCAAAATGCAATAGATCAATGAAAATCTGTGAATACAACAAAAAAGACCAGAATTCGATCCAAAAATCACCTGATAGAAAGCAGCTGATGTAAGACGGTTTTCGGTGATAATCTTACGTGTCCAATGTACTTCGAACGAGGATCGTGGTGCAAGTACACCCTGAAGGAAACTATGAGGGACATTGGGCAAAGTACTGTTGTTTCCACTCAAAGTCGTAAAATTTAGAGCGACTCAAAGGCAATAGTTCATGCTGAGGTGTGGGCGGAAGTCAAGGCGCACCTATTGCGCCCCCTCATTGGTGGCAAATTTGTACAGACGCCTAAAGACAAACAAAGGAAGGCGGCCAA